TTCCGAGAAGTGTCGAGGATGATTCCATGGTAAAGAATTTGACAGCATCTGCTTATATTCCGATTGTTAATTTCGTGAGCGACTGAAATATGAAGTTGAACACTTCTGTATATAATGAGTTTTTTTTTTCACAGTTCAACTGAAGAGAGCTGTCAAATCCTTTCGCAGCTTTGCGGTGTCGTTGACACCTTTGATTCCACGGAATATTCCACAGTCGTCGACATAGATGAGACAAGCCGATCAGACAATGGCTGGTAGATCATCTATAAATAATGTGCAGATAAGTTGACCAAGATTAGAGCCCTGGGGCACACTTGACTTGGCTATGAAGTATTTCGATTTTTTGTTCCTTAAATTTGATATTTTGAAACTTCCATGTAGATAATCAGAAGATAAAGTGAGTAGCTTGTCACTGAAATTGTATACAATGATATTATTGATGAGTTTATCGTGGTCGACTTCGTCAAAAAACTTTGCCATATCGATGTACACACAAACAATTTGATCTCATGTCTCAACTTCATCTCTCAATTCGCAAAAAACAAATAATGTGGGGTTGGTATCTATGGATCATTTTCTACAAATCCCATGATGGGATGGTCCACCTGTCATTTCATTTTATCATTCTACCATTGATATTGATGGAGAACGTTGTTATTACAATACTGTAGGTAACTCATTTGTTGTAACACTCAGTGTATGGCAGTGGAGGTCTGAAGAAAATAAACAGAGTCATCAATGTCGTATGTTCTATATATTATTATTGTATGTATTGATTTGAAGAAGATGAAAATAATGTAACAATAGTATATTGGTAACAAGCACTATAATTTTCGTTTGACTCAGACAGATAACAGCTACATTTTTGATTTCTTCGCTATATAGTCATCTGATTTCCTCTGAAGTAATGCACATCTATTTGAAAGAGCTGTCATTGCTTGGAATTTCACATTCCATAGGCGATGAGTTTTTTCCAATAATAACACAATATAGAGTCATTGTGATATCAGTTACGAAAATGAACTACAAAGTACCTCATTGATGAATCGAACACAGCAATTTTGTGTTATGGCCGTAGATAAATAGTTATTTATTATACAAGGGAAAAAAGTAGTAGATTTTAGCTCCAGGTTGTGTTGTCTCTCGACGCGTAGCGGAGGGAGACAACAAACCGTGAGCTAAAATCTAATATTTTTCCCGTGTATAATACACTATTTTTTTCTGTGACAGAAGAAAGGACGAATCAATATTGAGAAGATATTACATTATTTTGAAATCTGAAAATTATCGACGTGAAATTTTAAGTTATTAACAGTAGGGTCACCGCGTTGTGGACATCTTTTTCATTCATTTGAAGTAATCAAATATCTGATGTCACTTCTGTCAGTCTAATTCTGTAATTTGATTTCAAAAAATTGCGAATTCTGCGATTGTTTAGTAATATTCGTAACCGCGAAGTCGAATGGAAGATAAAAGGACTTGCAGTTCTTTCTCGGAGACGGTATTATTGACTCTTTTCTCGGAACTATAGCACAACAAGAGCTATCAACAGTGTGTATATACACGTATATATATGTAATATATATCCGGGAAAAAAGTACTCACTTTTTTCCCACGGGAAAAAAGTAATTTATGAAAAGTAACATTTTATAACCCGCCAACAGGGATGAACTGCCAAACTTTTTTCCCGTCACAGAAAAAATACTTTTTTTCTTAAGATGTCAAGAAATGGCAAGGTTCGCGCACTGATAACAATTCGCGAAGTGACACTTTAGTTTTTAACGTTACCATCAAAAATGATGAAGACAAAACTTTCAAATTCGAAAAATCAGGGGTAAACAAACTCAACTGTGGAACTTGTCCTGAGGTATATATCGGTCAGACAGGTCGTACTTTCAATCAGCGCATTCATGAACATAAGATGAATTTTCTAAAAAAGGAAACAAATTGAACATACGCCAACCAAATATCAAAAGAAAACCATAGTTTTGATGATAATTTCGAAATTCTACATGTAGAAAATAAAGGAATGAAACTCAATAATTTTGAATCATTAGAAATCAACAAACTCAAAAATTTTGACATTTCACTTAACGATCAATAAGACCTCAATAGTTCACCACGGTTATTGAATTTATTTCCTTAGTAGGTAATAATATTTAATTGCTATCATCCCTTTCAAGTTAATCCGGTATACCGTAATTTAATGTAGATATTGTGCCTAATTCCGAAAATGGAGGTTTATCGATCCTGCCCACAGGTAATTAATCCTCCAAGTTGGGAAAGTAAGATATATGAAAATTGAGTAAGCCATCAACGTTGGTTTAGTTCATTGTACCAGTATATCACTCGACGAAGCTACTGTGTTAGCGAAACATGTTGCGTGTTTAACAATTTTGTGGAAATCTTATCGTTCATGAAGTTTTTACATTTAATTTTTTTTCCATCTATGGCGGAAGTCATCATCAACTACTGCAATTACATGAATATTGGGTGTTGCAAAATGAGGAAACACTTCAACACTCCCACCGTTTGAATGTTTCGCAGCAGTCCGAGAAATAATTGAGTACAATTTTCATTCTTCATTTCTTCTTCAGATTCCAGTCATTCGCATCTTGTTGAGTAGTTTCCCGAAGTTTTTTCTGGGTAATGGTTCTGTCAATATATCTGCTAGTTGCTCTTGTGTATTGATATATTATCTTGGATCAATATCTCATTTTTCAGCCTCTCCACGTACAAAGTGATATCGTATGTCGATATGCTTCGTACGTTTGTGAAATTCTGGATTGTCAATTAATCCAATCAAGCTTTGATTATCTCCAAATAATGGAGTTGGTTTATCATCGATCTCTTTTTCTCCTTTTAGTAATGTTCGTAGCTAGATTGGTTCTCTTGCAGCATCTGAAGCTGCAACATATTCGGTTTCTGATGTGGTAGACAGGACCATTATATATTTAGTTGAAACAGGTAGTCAGTTGTAGATCGACTGGTTTCCAAATCGTTAGCAAAATCTGAATCATAGTAGCCGACAACCAAAGGCATTTCTTGATTATGATTGAATTGACTATTGAAATCGGATATCTTATGATGCGTTTAACAGCATTTCAATGATGCGTCATTTTGGGATTCGATAAATCGTGCGATAAATATCGACTAGCTACTCCCACAGAATACATTATGTCTGGTCGACTCACTACAGCTGCAAACATAAGCGAGCCAACAGCTTCACTATGAGAAACACTCAGCTGGACGGGATTCGACAAAAACAGACAGATTTTTGAAAACCTCACAAACGATGAGATTTTCACAAAATCCACAATTTCCTGGAAATCTCATCCTTATCGATTTTTTTTACATTCGCTATGGAACTCCATCAAGTAACGGCTGGGTTAATTCAAAACAGACAGATTTGTATGCTGATCTGTAGGAACTGATAATAGACATGCATCTTGAAGTTCAAAACGTATGATTATTTCCTTTGTATATCTTGTTCGATGAATAGACATGCTTTCATTGGCACATTTGACCATTTCTAAAATCAGGAATGGACATTTCCTCATTTCTGCTGATCAACCTTCAAGTTCCCTGATGCCCTTTCTATGAATGTTTTGTTATAGTTACCCAATAAAAGGTGGCTATATCTACTTATTCACTTAGTTCATTTGAATATCTGTTCAGGCATGTCTCTCTCCGAACAAATATGTTCACCATATAACTAAACAACTGTCTTCTAATCGAGAGGCACACAAGTATAGGAATCTGAAGAATCATCAAGATCAATTATCATGATTCATATCAGTCTCACCTATATCAAACGAATTTTAGTCCTAAGTAGATGATTTTTGAGGTTTTTCCAAGCACTCTTGACTCGAAATAGCGAATAGTTCTGTGTAATTCTAGACTTCAATGATCTACGCTTCATCAGAGGTGCTATACTAGAACCCTGGAAAATACATTCTGAAATATATAAACGAAACAAAACAATCGCAACTCTTTCATTTTTCTGTTCACGTTTCTGTTGAAATTGAACGTGAAACGACATATCATATCTTACTCATCCGATCCAAAAACAGAGTCGTTAATGTGATCGTGTTCAGAAATTTTGAAGTAACGACACATAGTTATTATGAAGACAAAACACTAGAGACGAAACACGGTAGTGGCAAGGAAATCATCTATATATCATATAATACTGGGACGTTCGAATTGCACGTGATATTTTCGTCATTATTACCTGTTTATGGAAAGTAACCATTGGTATTTGGAAAAAAATAATAATAATAATAATAATAATAATAATAATGTTTATTTGCAGAATGATACAGGATATAGACATATAAAGGAACAACTGATTATTAGGAATTGATTATCGGATCATACCGCAAAATAGACAGGCAGTAAAACTGATACGAGTGTCATCCCTAGCGTCTGGCAAAAAACATCAAGATTGGCACATGAATAATGAATTAAGCATAAAATGTAAAGTAAAATGTAAAGTGTAAAGTGGCATCATCTTAATGAATATGATTTATCTAACAGCATCAATTAGTGAATTTTTGTATGCTTTCCTGAACTTCGAGATTGTAGACGTTTTTAGGTTTGCAGGAACTTGGTTGTATAATCTGTATCTGTAAATATTATAACTGAAGGACCTCCTGAATACTGTAGTTCGATGAGATGGAGGCGAAATTATTTCCCTGAACCGAGTGTTCAGATTGTGAATATCACTGCGAAATGTTATCTTGTTATAAAGATAAGGAGGAGACAACAGCAGACAACTGTTTCATGTTCTTTGCCCAGTGGGTAGTGTCCTTTTATTCAGTTTGTGAACATGAATACTGCTTGAGATGTGTACAATTTAGCTCACCCTTTACAAGCCGCTAATTCACCTGCTCCACCTATCGTGCCGGCCCTGTCTTTCACTATAGAGTTCAAGAAAGTGAGAGGTTTCACGAGTCTTGAATTGATTGCCATAACATTCATTGAAATTGCATTAAATCAGTTATATTGCATTATCCTATGAAATTATATCGAGGCTTTTCACGTGTTCCCATATAAGTAACATTAAGCAAAGGTGAGTGCCAGAATTAATTCGCTTAACTCGACATACATTCCTCATTCATCTTCCTCTATTAGCGTTCTCAAATATTATCTCTCCTATGCAGTCCCAACAGCAAATTCAAGTTTCATGCATGCCCTCAGGATAATGTATCTTTTCTGCACAGAGTAGTGCGTAGGAGTAAAAATATTCAGGAATCAAAAGACACGAATGTGTTACATTTCAGTAGCTGTAGACTGTTTTTGGAATTTGAGATGCCGTTGCAGATGTAGTTTTAATTTTTTTTTCAATTATAGTTTCCGATAATTGAATAACAATATCTGAGTATACGATTAACCCAAAAAGTTCTTGTAACATCATCGTGGTCTGAGCAATCAATAATATACATTCTAACGAATATTCTCAGATATTTAATATTTCCAAAAGCTTTTTGGAATGTAACGGAAATGAAAAAGAAATGGAAAACATACATCGAGTAGCTACTAACTTATTTTATTTGTATTCATAACAATGTCACCCTGTATGATATCATGTTTATCACGAATATATGCGATTATGCTAACATTTGGCATCTCGAATGGATATCATTGACCAAGCACTCATCAAACGCCTGATAAGAACCAGCGTTTTCAATAAATATGAATTTCGAATTTCAACATCAACCATAAAGAAGGAATTTTTTTCTAGAATTCAGGTTAGGTCACTTTTTCAATCGAAAAGTGTACTTTTGATACAGCATGGTACGAAATCCTCACCCTTTTATAATTTGTGAATATTCAGATATCATTCAGCAGTATGGTAGTAGAATGGATATCATTGGCCAAGCACTGATCAAAAGCCTGATAAGAACCAGCGTTTTCAATAAATGTGAATTTCGAATTTCAACACCAACCACAAAGAAGGAATTTTTTTGTAGAATTCAGGTTGACTCACTTTTTCAATCCGATACTTTGGATACAGCATGGTACATAATCCTTGCCCTTTTGTTATTTGCGAATATTCAGATATCATTCAGCAGTAGATTGAAAAAAAGACATGTGTCCATGTTGATACTGATTTCAAACGTCTTTTGTATTCTAAGGTATTACATGCAGGATGACTCGATCATATATCATCTTTGAGTTTCCCTGATTGACAACAAATTGTTCTTGCCTTGCTTTCCCATTTTCCACGATTTTTGCGATCTATTCGTATTGCTAGTGATGAAATATTCGATAGCCATCATTTCAGAAGAACATTTCTGCCGAAGCATCTCAAAGACGTGGAACTATATTGCAGAATCATACAAACATGTGAATATGAACCGCTATATTACAAAATGGTTTCCCTTCAGGAATTATCGATTATGAGATATAGATATGGATTCCACGATCAAGTTCATTGAAACAATTTTTTTTCTAATTTTGACATGTAATTCGACACTTTTTGAAACTGACGTTATAAATCTTCTCACGTGGCAATAGTGATATTTGTTTATATATTCTTTTTCATTCATAACCACACGACGCTGTCAAATTTATAATAAGTAACTAGGTAACTTATGAGAATCAATAATAAGAAAATTCATATTCACAAAAAAAAATAGTTCTACCTGGTTGATTATCACTCATAAAATATTTATATATCTTGCAAAATGCTTCCATGCCAATGAGATTTTCCTAATATTCCTAGGAATTATCGTGATTTCATTTACTCATCGAACTATTTTGTGACCCTGGCAACTATACTAGGTGAATTTCACTCCAAAATATAGTATTCATGCATCAATTTAATTATCCCAAGTTCAATTTTTACTAGTCAACCCTTCAAAATCCGACATTGAAGCAAAGCACTGTATGATATATCTATCTGAAAAAAATGCAAATTCACAATTTCTGGAGATATTATTTCAATACTTTCATCCAATCAAGGGGTTCAACCTTGAACGATGGAAGCTTGTTATTTTTAAACACCTCAATCGCAGATTCGTGCACGGAAAAAAAGTTTTGTTGCACAAACAAAATAATTTTGGTTTTTTTTTTGTTAAATTAAACATAATTTTGCGAAATCAACAAAATATATGATCATTTCAAATAAGCAACCTTCTCAAGGTGACAAAATAATTCGATTGCAATATTTGCTTACTTGAACAAAAGTTTCATTTCATTCAACAACATTTATAGTTGATATAAAACAAATTTTGTTGATCCAACTATTATCTCATTGTTTAATCAATCATATGCATTCTGTCTATCCGACAACATTGAATTAATTTTGACAACATCTTATTTCAAATGTGAAAACTTCACAAACGATAAGATTTCCACAAAATTCTCAAACACACGACATGTTTCGCTAACACAATCGCTTCGTCAGGTGATAGACTGGTACATTGATCTCTCTTCAGTCATCGGATTTTTTTAAATATTATTCAGCAAAATATTTTGTCAATTTTAAATACAATTTGGTTGATCAAAGAATATATATTGTTATTTTAACATATTCACTCTCTGAAAAACTGAGAATTTTGTGACTTGAATGAAATAATATAATCATATCAATCAATGAATCGTTCATGAGAGCAGATATTGTATTATAGAAACAAAATATTCCTTGTTTATTCAACCAATTCGTGCTGTTAATTTGAATCATTAATGAGTAACATCAAATGAATGTTGAATTGAATACTGACACGGAACATTTGTTGCGGGGACAAAATATTTTGTCGTGGATATATGACACTCAGATTTTGTTGCATTTACAAACATTTTGTAGTTTCAAACAATTTTTTTTTCTGAGTGATTAGGTTTTCTCAATTCAGAATTTTTTTTCACGTCCTGTATGATGAATGTCAATTTATCATACATCCAAATATATTATTTCATATTCTCATTGTGTGTGGTCAAGAAAAATATTTCAATGTTCGTCGTGACTTATATCCAGAAAAGTAGTTGGTTTTTGTTGAATATACTGAGAAATGATTCATATCTTCATCAGATGGAGAATGCGAATTCTGAATGTATTTTTTGATATGTACCTATCCAGTTTTTTATGTTCATAATATTTAATTTTGTCCATAATATATCTGATTTCTTGTCAATATCATCACATCCTGTTGAATACCTATCAGGTCTGAATATGATGGTTCCAGATTCTGTTTCCATATTTGAATTCATCTTGAAAATTGAGAAAGATATACGAAGAGAATCATTTTCGGAAGAGACTCCTTGAAATGCTATAGCTCACTGAGGAGAAATGTCTCGAACTACGTTCGTTTGACCTCGTCTTCCTCCTTCAGGTGTCACTGTCACTGCATAACCTTGTTGAAGTATGCTGTTATCATCATCTCACTGAATAAGATTTGTGAAATACATCTAGATACTGAAATAAAAGGTGACCAGGAACCAAATTAACCCCTTTATCTTCGTCGCTATTTTGGATGGATATTTAGTACATCGACTTAATTCCATAGGTGTTTTCTTGCTAGTATATGGGAAAGAATATGACACACCGGTTTCACCGGAATTGCATGATTAATTCTGAGTTCAGAAACAAGGACTTTCCTCTGAAAATTACAATTCAGTATAGGAAAACTTATCTTTTCAACGATATATTATTTCAATCAAACTTTTGATTCACAATCTACTTATATATACTTGATTGAGATTTAATAGAATATACCTTACTGTATCCATTCATCAAATGAAGAAAAATTTTCTCAAAATGTATGAGAGTTTCTAATCAACGTCGAAGAATCCTATGAAACCATTACAATAGTTATAGTTGTATCTAGTGCCCGAAATGCTACTTTGGTGATCGAGAACTGATGTTTTTAACAAGGCGCAGCCGAGTCGAAAGATATTGTCCTGAAGTAGAAATATGCTTATAAAAAATGGTGTTAAACTGGCTTGAAAGGCCTCTTCCTACTCTCCGTATATAGGTACGCACGATGTTCCACGAACCTTATAGGATTTTCCTTTAGTGCGGTCCAAGAGATAAAAAAATATTGTCAAACATTCAAAAATGAATGATGTTTGTTTCATGGAGTTGAAATATAAAAATCTCATATAGTTAAATACGATGTGCGAAGAATGTTTAGCTATCATTCTATCATCCATAGTTATATTCCGTTGCGGGGGGATACAAAGAGTATTGTTTCATAAGATTGAGTAGATTGTGGATTGATAGTATGATGGTGCTTTATCATAAGGAAGGTAATTAATTCTAAACTGAGTCGCAATTTGCAGAGATGTACTGATTTTGGAACATACTAAGTCGAAATTTGCAGAGAACAATTCATTCGTATCTGAAGAAATGAATCTGAACCATTTATGTTGTCTGATACAAGGAATATAAAATGCTCATGAAGTCAAATCGATGTACTGATTTTGTAACATGCATTCGAAATAGTAAGAAAACACAAGGGACTGAATTGGTTTCGGGTCACCTGGTATAGTGAATATTGTGTTATTTCCTCGAGTCATTGACGATTTCAATGGATTCTTCTGCTAGATAACGAACTGTAATACTCATTGTTTTTCAGATAAATCCTGAACGATGTTGCCACCCCTCTTTGAAATGGATGATTACGCCTCTTGTATTGACAATAAACATAGTTTCTGTAAATTAGAGGCACAACTTTATGGTAAAGATAATGACAGTCCGATCTGGAGATCTATAAAGGTTCGCATCATTTCGATACCTACGAATATATTTTTTTTATTTTATGTTCACAAAATGTTAGTAAACAGCACAACGAATCGTGAGATTTCGTTTCTCAAAATTAGGAATATCTGCTCACCCTTGAGCTGAAATTGAACCTATAAGAGTACACTATAACTTCATATCATATAATTGTCTCCGAAGAATGGATATTGAAGCAGATCTATTGTTCATGTAACTGCAATTTTCAACCTCTGAAGAAACGGCGATTTTCTAGGTTCTGTATCTCGGGATTCATTGAATCTGAAGGAATAGAAATGTATTATTCGGAATATAAGGAAATCAGTCAACTCCAGTCTCATATACTGATTTTATATAGGCTCAAAACCGATATTAGTCGAATCATTTCGAGGTTTTTCGAAGCTCCAAACTTGGATTTCAGTGGAATGCGTGAACTTATGCAAACTTCACCCAATTTCATTGTCTTAAGTCAGCGTCCTATCAGGAATCCGAGAAAAAGAGTAGTTAGTTCATCGAAAGGTGTTTGCAATGACAAATTTGTTTGCAACTGTCTCATTCGATTCTTTAGCTAATTGGGATATCCCTTCCTCGTCTCTATGAATTGGGATATCGAGTATAGTTTTATTTCTATACTTATTCTTTATTTGCTCCAAAATTTTACTGCGACTGAAATGAGTTTATAACTTCATTCAAGGGCAATCATGATCCCATTGCACACTAGGCGCGCCCTGTATGGAGTTTTTGTTATATATATATACTCTCATAAGCATCACACTGATCTGAATTGTGGATGATATGGTGTATTGATTATTGATTCATTTGATGTCCCTATTAGGAATCCTCTGAGAATGAGAAGCTGATGGATCGCAGTATACTCCATAGAGGATTTTGTATACCTCGTCAAGATGCAAAGGATTTGGAATCAGTAAAGAGCTTTTCAGAAATGTTAATCGACAAAGAGATAGGACCCATGAATTTGACTTCTGAGGTAAACGTCTTAGTCTGTTTCGATAATGACTTCTCTATGACATCATATGACCAACTAGTTATGTAAGTATAAGTATAAAATAGGTATCACAGGGAAATTCATACACATTCTACTTCGATCATGATTCTCTATTCAAAATTATATTGATTGAATTTTAATTTCAGATTGATCATTATGATATACAGTGGTTTGATACTATTCGCAACATTATACAGCATGACGAAAACAAAAGTAGTGGGTGAGTGGATATTTTTATGTATTATACTTTATGAATTTATCAATTTGGAGTGAACAAACTCAGAGCACAGTTAATGTATTCTCTCAACTGTGCTCAGAGGCAGATATTCGGAAACATTGTTAACATCGACTCGAATTTGTTCACTCTAGAGGTAAACATACAATGTAGAAACCAATAATTAATTTGCAGCGATGCAATCATAACGTTTCATATAACAAGTCGCGAATCGAGTTTGTTTTTTGCACTATCCGTAGGTTTGTTTTCATAAATGCAATGGAATCTATTCACTTCTCCGATTGTTCATTCCATATATCATGGTTGAGTATACACATTGAATAAAAATCGAAAGAAAGGACAAAAATTGAAATAATGAATTCAACTAAAATTTTATCTGGCCATGACGAAGCGTTTCAGCAATTGAGAAGACGACCAATGACCTTGATAAAAAATATGTTGCTTCAAGTATTGAACTGAGGAGTTTATTATTCAATTTCTCTATTCTCACGTTGGGTGTATTCATAATGTGGGAAGAATTCTGTTCATTTTTCTTCGTCACAAACAGATTCATTTAGATGATGGGGAATGAATTTCGTTGAATATATGCAGATTCAGAGCAATTGTTATGATAAATCTGACGAAAATTATAGTGACTATCTTGAATTGAACTGATATTTTGCTACCGAGTTTATTTTCCTGTTATCTCAAACTTCCATAATAATACATACTCATTGCTTATACTGACATAAACAACTATCCAGACCGCTTATGTCATAAAAAATAGGGTATGTCACTTACCTACGCGATGGAACTTCATATGTTCTTTATTTAACAGTTTGAGAGTCTCTGCGCATTGAGCAGAAGCGTTTTCAGGTGAGCAAATTTCCCGAGATTGTCGGAGTGCTGGGCTGAGATGTAACATAAGCTTCCCTTATCCCTGCGGTAGTTGAGTGTTTTCTGATCTGTGATCAGTCTCATCCCAAATAAGAAGCACCTAGTAACAGAAAGCAAATGATCTCTGATTTGAATTCCATCTCATTCCACCTACTTTTTCATTTTTCGAAGTAATTACTCGAAAGAAATGATGTGGAGGCATGTTTTGTTGAGGGCGATAGAGATCCGCTGTTTCAATGACTGTGTTCGAGAATTTTTCTGTAGACTTGGCTCAATCATCACTGATCTATCACTTGAAAATGTTATTGTTTATGAAAGGGATAGTTCTCATTTAGCCCAGTGATAATTATTATTATCATTGATTCAATCATCACGCATATAAAAATAAAGAAGGAAATTAACGCAGATGAGTCTAACTACTAGTTTTGGACTATAGCTTTGGAATTTTAATATTCATTGAATAGATAGTTTCCATTCAGTCTAGTAACGTTGTAATCATCATTGATTCAATCATCCCATATTCCTATGAGAATGAATGGAAATTAACGCAGGTGATGCTTTAATCTTCATTTATAGTTTTGTTTTGAGAGTTCAATGTAAATTATCGATGACTATGCAGTGTTTTCAGTATAATACCAAATGATTGCTATTGGTTGAAAGAAAGAAAACGACACATTTTGACATGTGGAGAAAATAATCGAGATACCAAATCATATCGATAATATTTTTTGTTTATATGTATAAATACATACAGCTCCTTCTTTCAATGGCATCAATTGTCATCTTGACCATTTCATCACGTCTCAAGCCTTCAAATTCATTTATCAATAAAATGCAGTTCCAAGATTACAGCAATTCAATACGAAAATATACCACCATAACCTCTATTTGCCAGCACACAAAGGTGACAGTTGCTATAATGACGTTACATAGTAAGTACAAATTTCTCTAACGTGGCTATTACAGTGGTCAGAGCGAATACATTACGACTCAGATATTGGGATGTCTTCAGAAGATTCTCGGAATGATTACAACTCTTCGATACAGGAAGGATGGCATCCATGTTCTTTGTTAGAATGAGTATAGAACTTTAGCAGCCATATTGTAACAAAAATTATCTAAACGAAAAATACACTACTATGGGCGTTATATCATCCTGGAATTCGATTGAGATGGACAAATGAAGTACATTACGTATGATGGTCACATTATTTTGATGATTCATGTAAAACAATCATAAAATATATTTTGCCAGAAATAAATTTTCACCCTGTCAGCATTATTTCCGAGGCCATACTTTCAAGTGAGTAGAATTGGATTCTGTTCGTCAATATGGGATTGTTTAGTTATTCTATGGTTTCTCATATTCTCAGTCAAAAATAATATTCAATTTTACCTTCATATTGTCAAGAAGTACAAATGTCTATGAAATAACTTTCGTTCGTTTCAAGATCTTCTATCATTAATTAACTTTTCCAAATTAAAACATTCAGTACATTGCAGTTCGATCAGGCCAGCGGAGTTCATAGACATCATTTCCTTTATAATTTGCAAAGAAATCGCTTACCGCGGCGATAATACCTAGGTAAGCGGTATCGAAAAGCTATCGACCGTTCCCCGTGTGGAAAATAGCGAACCTAGCATCGATTCCGAATATAAATAGATTCCGAATCGATAAGCCATTCATTACTGATCATTACTGATTTTTGATTATTATTGACCACTCATTCCTGATTACATTACTATTTGATTATTACTAAGTAAAATGCATTTCGATAACACTTTACTTTATTCCGTAATTGAGTTACTAATTCACGAGTTGCTGCCAAAATGTGTACCGTCTTCCCGACTTTGATCCTGCTGGTCAACCCCATGTTAGATGTCATGATGTAAGTACTGTTTTCCATGTTCTATCTGATTTGTTTTTTCTGTGTTGTGTTCCGGTTGTTAATTCACTATGGTTTGTCTCTGCCACTTTGCCATGTGGCACGCATTTATTCACGACTTTCCCATTAAATCAATAAATGTTAATGTTATACGAAAACTATCTTGACTCTTCATTTGGGGATGAATATGGTTGGGTGGTAAAATGATTGAAAATCCTCTCATCAAGCCAAGCGAGTAGCCAAGTTGCGATCCATAGGAGGGCAACATCTGAGTTGCGACATGTGGTGGGCACGCCGTTTGCCAAATAATCTACCAAAACCATCTGAGTTGCGACACGTGGTGGAGGCGCCTTGCTCCTTCCTACAGATTAACTCTTCATAGTTAATCTATTGAGTTCGTTCTGATTTGTGATCAATTTTCGATATTCCAGTCAATTTTTTTTTTATAAAGCTATTACACCCATCCAACCACGATTCATCTCAAAATATGAAGTTTTCGTAAATTCAATGATCTATTTCGATAATTACTTTTTCAATACTTGCTTTCAATTTACTTTCAACTCAACTTTTTTCATATTATCAGACCATAGATAATAAAAATGATATCATTCATACAACCATGCACCATTGTTTCTAAAAATCCTGGGAAATTTTGCTATTATAGTATAATAAGTGATTCAGAAAAGTATTCTCTGGTGATGATTTGTGTATTTTATTTCATTTTACGGGGTGTGTTTCTACGAAGTTCTGGGAAACATTAAATATTTCAATTTTGGTTTTAGATAAGTAAGTTATATAAAGCAATTTTTCTTATTAAGTGGGGTATTTGAGAAACTCATTCGATTTTCTTGCAGAGATACAGAGCGTTTAGTTTTAGCTAATCATTTATCAGTATAGGTGATATATCATATATGATTTTTTCAAATATCATATGATACGTTAAGAATTTTTTTCAACCAAAATGGAGCACAACCCAATGTTTTTCTATCGTTTTTATTGGTATATATATTTTAAGTTGTTTGCGCAATATCAACCCTTATCAACAGAGCATCTAAGTGTACCTAATTATTCAGATTTTTTACTTTTTTCAAAGATACAGGGCGTCCTTGACAATATTCAGTAATGAACATGCATAAATTCAACTTTTTATTTTCAATTTTGACATTTTATCTATTTTCTCACACCACGTCACAATTCTTGAGTTATGAATGATTATGCCCAATACCTGTCTTACTTCAGCTTGGTAATATATCATTGATATTGTCTAATCGTGAAGAATACCTGTATCGCCAGTACCAGCTTCTAAGCGATTACCAATAACATATTTTGAGAATTGTGTACAATTAGAGCCACCCTGAAACAAACCTACTGATTTGTTAATGGTACATACATTCCAATACCTGTCTCGTCAGTATCAGCTTGGGATTGTGTATCATAAATGAGTCAATGACTACCAAATTGGAGGATAACTGTCCACTTTCAGCTCACTCTGATTTGTAATCATACAGTTGGCACGATACTCAGCCATAGATTTTCTATTCACTTTCCTTAAAATTTTTTTTTGAATGGTTCGTTATAATCTAAGTCGTCGACAATATTTATTGACTGAGGCAAGAAAAATATAACTAGACTTGAGAAATACCCAAAAATCACGTTTATTTCAAACTTTTAAAACTAACTATATATTCTACGCCACTGAACAAATGCCAGTACACCCTGTAGACTCCACATTTCAACTAACCCGTGAAGAAATAGCACAGCAAAAATTGAGAAGATTATTTCGTGAATTTTGAAGTTGAAAATAGGTACATTAGGAAAAACAGGTTGAGAAATATCTGACAAACGTATAGGCTCAGTAATTTTTATTTATAACTTTTGATTTTTGATTTTCAGAATTCGGATTCAATTCGGAACGATTTTTCACAATCACTCATGATCTTGATAGAGTTTTTTTTTCGAAATATTGACTAGCGAGTTCTCAGTATTCCTTTAGTATTATTATATTTTCAGAATTCAAGATAAGATTTTTTTGTTTGGAAAATGAATTAGTGTCTTTAAGAATAATTTTTCTAGCTCGTAGGGAAAAGGGTCGTGGTATTACATATTTGCTAACATATTTTACTAGTTGATATCATGTAAAGATAACATTTAAGTGAATGCTTCATTCAAAAAATCATTTTTTTTTTCTTCGTTTTGGGCACAACACATAGGTAACATTAAGTT